ACAGAGCAGTACTCAGAGTTATGCATTTTCCGGAAAGTCACACAGGAAAAAACATAAGTGAGTATTTACATAAAGGTTTAGTAAGTTTTGAAATTCCACACACAAAAATTCATATCGTTTTACGAGATAATGCGGCCAATATGGTAGCTGGTGTAAGAGACAGTGGTTTTAGATCAATGCCATGTTTTATATATACAATACAGTTATGTATACATGACTCAATTTTGTTGCAAAAATCTGTTAAGGATATTTTAGCTTGTTGTAGACGTCTGGCAACTCGTTTTCACCATTCACCAACAGCAGCAGCAAAATTAGAAGCAATTCAGGAACAACTTGGTACAAATAAGCACAGGTTAATCCAAGATATTACTACAAGATGGAACAGTTTTTATGATATGATTGAAAGGATGCTTGATCAAAAAGTTCCTTTAGCAACTTATACAGCTGATCATCCTACCCAGTCAACACTAAATTCATTTCAATGGGGCTTATTAGAAAAAGTGTTGCATATTTTAGTACCATTTAAAACTTTAACCATTAATTTCAGTAAACGTGAATCATATTTGTCAGATGTTATTCCTTCAATAATGGCTCTGACAGAATTTTTTAATCAAGCATAAGCATGTGGGGCTTTTTTAACAATAAATACTTTAGTTGAACATTTAAGTGGGTCAGTAGACAAAAGATTGGGTCCATATTTACATGATAAATATTTATGTCTTTCCACTTTTTGTGACCCTAGATATAAATTGACATATCAAAAGGAAGACAAGGATAAAATAAAAAATTGGATAAATGAACAGATGCAAGAAATGCAACAAAGTAATTTAGAACTTGAATCCTTTGATTCTGATTTTGCCGAACCTTCAGTACATAACACAAATGAAGTAATTGCAAAACCAGCTTATCCAAAATTCAATGAATGTTTTCAGAAAGTTTCTAAACTGATAACTATAGATGAATGTGATTCCAATATTGTAAGTACTGAAAATAGCAAAATTATAAAAAGATCAAATTCTAGTATACAAATGATAAACAAGGAGATTGAAGAGTATTTAAAGCTACCTCTTGTCATGGAAAAAGAAAGTCCTCTCTT